GGACTCCACAGCTCAGAGGGAGCATTACGTGTGATCCCCATTTGCCTGGGGGAGGTGCTTCCTCCCCTCCCCCCTTTTGTTGCCTGGGAAACCTGCTAAATGGAAAGAAAAAAACAAAACATTCCCGGGTTCCTTAAAATGCCGCCCCAAGGTATGAACCAACAATGTCCCCTGATCTGGATAGCCCGATCTCGTCAGATCTCGGAAGCTGAGCAGGGTCGGCCCTGGTTCGTACTTGGGTGGGAGAGCACCAAGGAAGTCCTGGGTTGCTACGCAGAGGCAGGCAAGGGCAAAAAAACCCTGCTGATCATCTCTTGCTTGACCTGGGTGGCCCCGGGCTAGTCAGTTCTCAGAAACTAAGCAGGGCCAACCCTTGTAAGTACTTGGATGGGAGACCACCAAGGAAATCCTGGGTTGCTACGCAGAGGCAGGCAAGGGCAAAAAAACCCTGCTGATCATCTCTTGCTTGACCTGGGTGGCCCCGGGCTAGTCAGTTCTCAGAAACTAAGCAGGGCCAACCCTTGTAAGTACTTGGATGGGAGACCACCAAGGAAATCCTGGGTTGCTACGCAGAGGCAGGCAAGGGCAAAAAAACCCTGCTGACATTAGGGTGTACACATACTAAAATATATTCGGGTTAAAAAAAATTCGGGTATCTTATAAAAGTACAAAATTTATTAATATTTTATATGTTTTTATTAGTCTAACATAAGTTGGCTGTGGGACTCGGGGACAGGAAAACAACCGAAAACAGAGAGCACTCACAAGCGGAGCAACCGGCCATCTTGCGAGTCTCACTAAGGGAGTTAACAGGTTTTATCAAGCTACGATCATGTTCCTTTCAAAAGGGGAGGGATTTGACTGCCAGTCCTGCTTACCCTGGTATGTTAATGTGCAGGGTCGGCCTTAGACACGGGGAAGTGCTAACGGTGTGCTCGAATCATACGGGACCGGTTTCTTCTTTCAGATTTTTATGAAGCCAGATTTTGCCTTGGAAGATCCCTCGACATTTAATATGGTGTTACCTTGGTCTCATTTTAATACCGCTGGAGGGAAGGGAAATCGTGACGCTGCTTCTTCCAAGCTGCTTCAGGAAAAGGTAAATGATCCGCGCGGTACCGTCCCAGCTATTCAGCGAGCACAACAGGCATTTCTGTATAAAGGCACCATGCTGAGGAATTAAAGGTGTGAATGCCAAGGGGGGAAATGAGAATAGGGTTTTGGCCCCCTTTTTAATGAGAACTTTTTCCAACAGAAAAATCAGTAATTTGGAGGAAGAACTTAAGGGGGGGGGGAACCTCTGGTTAAATCTTTCCTCACATGAAGCTGCCTTACCAGGGGTCATTTCGTAGAAAAAGAGGTGCAGGAGCTCATTAGCATAACTCATTAGCACAACTTATTTGCATATGCCACACCCCGTGACATCACCGGAAGTGTGTCAGAAGGCAACACCCACCACTCAGGCTCCACTGGACTGTTTTGGATTGTTAGCTATTTGGGGGGGACACACGCAGATCTGCCCTCACAGAGGAGGGAGAGCTTGTACCTGAAGGTGGGCCCGGGGGGAGGGGGCTCTGCAATTTACCTGGCTGTTTTTTGCTCCTCGTGGCCCGACTGAGGGCTGCTGGGAGCAGGGGGTGGGGCTTGTTGCATGTGCCCGCCCCCTGGGCTCCTTACTGCCGAAGCTCCGCTCCTGTGCGCTCCCACAGGAAATGACCCCTGTGCCTTACACAGAATCAGACCTTTAGTCCATCGAAGCCAGTATTATCTACTCAGACTGACAGCAGCTCTCCAGGGTCTCAGGCCAAGAGGTCTTTCACATCACCTCCTGTCTGGTCCTTCTAACTGTATTGAGCCTGGGGCTTTCTGCATGCCGAGTGAAGTGCTTTACCACTGAGCCACAGCCCCTCCCCTCTTTTGAAATTAGTTAAATGCTTTTTAAGTTGATGTTTTGCTCACTCAAAATATATAGTATGGAGATGTTTGTGTCAGACTGAATAAGAACCTAAGAAGATCCCTGCTGGATCAGATCAGGGGCCCATCTAGTCCAGCATCCTGTCTCACACAGTGGCCAACCAGTTCCTCTGAAGGGCCAACAACAGGGCATAGAGGCTGAGGCCTTCCTAAGAACATCATAAGAGCCCTGCTAGATCAGACCAGTGGTCCATCTAGTCCAGCATCCTGTCTCCCACAGTGGCCAACCAGTTCCTCTGGAGGGCCAACAACAGGGCAGAAAGGCCGAGGCCTTCATGAGGGCATAAGAAGAGCCCTACTGGATCAGACCAGGGGTCCCTCTAGTCCAGCATCCCGTCTCACACAGTGGCCAACCAGTTCCTCTGGAGGGCCAACAACAGGGCACAGAGGCCGAGGCCTTCATAAGAACCTAAGAAGAGCCCTGGCTGGATCAGGCCAGTGGTCCATCTAGTCCAGCATCCTGTCTCCCACAGTGGCCAACCAGTTCCTCCGGACGGCCAGCAACAATACTTTACTAGTCTCTGTGTAGATCCCCTCCTAACACACATGGGAGGAAAATGGATTGTGCCCAGTTTAAAAAAAAATTTCGGGCACAAAATGTTGGTCATAATATTGATATAGATCAATGGTTACGTGTATGGAAAACAAACGTAAAGATTACAAAAGCGATTGCATATAAAGAAAATATTTATAAAATGTTTTTATAGGTGGTATATTACTCCAGATAAGTTAACTAAATTTTATCCTCATCTATCTAACAAATGTTGGAATTGTCAAAAAAATGTTGGTTCCTTTTTCCGTATGTGGTGGACTTGTGATAAAATTAGAAAGTATTGGTCTTGGATACATGAACTGTTACAAAAAGTGTTTAAGAATATGATACCATATACACCAGAACTCTTTTTATTGAATACTAGCAGTAAAGCCCGTTGTGAAAGCAATACAACGGGATCTAGAAAGAGGCTCTGGGGCAGTGCTCTGGCTTTGGGCAAACAGTGTCAATTTGCTGTGGTGACCTCAGCAGGGTATAATGACAGAGTCCACTGTTTTCTCCAGAGGAACTGATCTCTGCTACCTGAAGAGCAGTTGTAATTGTGAGTAATCTGTAGCCCTCACCTGGAGATTGGCAACAATTGTTACCCAGGACAAAATGGCTGGTTTGGAGGGTGGAGTCTATGGCATTCTACCTGTCTGAGGTCCCACCCCTCTGCAAACCCCACCCTCTCCAGGCTCCACCCCTCAAATCCCCAGGAATTTGTCAGCATGTAGTTGGCAACCCCATCTCCTTCCCAGCTAGCCACCAACCTACCATTATCTGCCCCTTTGACTTCAGCTGACTTCTGCCCTCCCTTCTGCAGAGCAGTTGTAATACTGAGTGCTCTCCAGCCCTCACCTGGAGATTGGCAACAATGGTTCCCTATGTGGGACTGACTGGTTTGGAGGGTGGAGTCTATGGCAGTGTACCTGTCTGAGGTCCCACCCCTCCTCAAACCTCACCCTCTTCAGGCTCCATCCCTCAAGTCTCCAGGAATTTCCCATCTGGAGTTGGCAACCCTATCAGGATTGGCCCCAATGTGTTTTCTCCCAAAGGCCAAAGTAGGTGACAGGACCAAGCTTAGTTGCCTACCAACAGGCACTGAGGGGAATGTAGGGTTGCCAGCTCTAAGGAGGGAAATACCTGGAGGTTTGGGGGGTGGATTCTGTAGAGGGCCGGGCAACGGAGGCACCGGCCTTCCGTCGCCCGCCTTGCCCCCCCAATCTCGGCCCGGGCACCCGCGGCTCCCACCAGCGGCCGCCCGACTCCAGACTCCCCCGCGGCCACTCCAGCCAGGCGACGGAGGCATCGGC